GGTGGAGGCATCTCTATACCATCTGTTCTGTTCTATTCATTTGTGTGCCAATATAACCACCATTATCTCTTTGTACATTGCGTCTCTTAAGCAGACCATAAATTTTAATGCATATCTATCTTCAGCTATCTGTTTGTGGGGTTCAGAGGATGTGTGTGAGTGTAGGTGTAGGTCATGAAATCACAAAATGGTGCACAAAATTAGAAAACAAAGTGGTGTTGAGGAAATCTGGAGAGATACATTGAACACATGCACATGCAAGCTGAAAGGAGGCTCCTAGGAGTAGAAGTTACAAGTGGGGCATGGGAGAGGAGGAATACAATGAGGGAAGGAGGACCGATGAAAACAGGTCTGGAATTCATAAATAGCACAGACTGGCTTCAAACCTCTAATCTTCCTTCTTCTGTCTCTATGTGCTGCAATTACAGGCATGTACCAGCAAGCATTGTCACAAGATAGGCATGTGTTCTTAGTGAAGTGATAATGTCATCATTATATATTTCTCTTAATGAATATGTATTTACATGTGGCTGAATGTGTACATTGCCTGATGTTAATACACTGAAGCTAGTTTCCTTTCAATTACCGTATTTTAATTTTCTGTTTTGCCATAACAAATAACAATAAATTTGAGAAGTTTAAAAAATATATTATTTTGCAGTTCCTGTAAATCACTCCATACTGAAATATATGAAGAAGAATCTGCATCCCATCTGATCTACACTGTAGGCTGAACTCAGTTCCTTGAGTTTGGAAGAGGAAGGCATATACTTCCTTGCCACACATCAAGCAGGTAAAATCCTAAGGTCTTTACAGTTTTTTTCCCCCTGTCTTGGTACATATAGGGACCTGACAGACCTGCTGCTGTTCTGAGTACTAGAAACCAGATAGAAATATGGAAAGATGAGACAAACACATTATTCTGTCTAAGAATGCAGAAAGCTTTCTCAGGGAGGCAAGGACCTTACTTAATAGAAGATGATATGAAGCCATAGTGGGCCAAGAGAGGGAGAAATATCAGCAGACGGGACAAAAACTCTGAGTGAAGCCTAATGCGTCACACAGTTATGAGTTGAGGCAACAAAGACTCCATCTCCACAACTGTGTATGAGAATCTCCTTCACTTTTATATTTCACCTTTAAGGAAGTGATTAGCAAAGGGACAGCCCCTGGTCAACAAAGGGAGTGAGGACAACATGGGGTCAAAGTGAAGACCCTCAGTGAAGAGTGAAGACCCCCAAGTAGGCCAATACAGGGAGGGCAACACAGATCTGTTGGTATTGAGTACCACATGACAGCAATAGTGTCTGAAGCCAACTGTTCACTTTCTCTTTGGCAGTCGGAGAATAACTGTGTTCTGTGCTGACAACCTTGGAGCATAGTGAAGTGGGTAGGGCTAGGGCATGCTGCCAACAGTTGATATGATGATCCTGAATGCTAACTGGCAAGCCAATCCACTACAGAGTATGGGTAACCCCTTATCCATCCTGCAGTTACCACATTACAGCTCAATCAGTGTTTACCGTCTACAGACTAAAACTTATGATAACTTATTTCTTATGTATTAGTTTGCTAGGACTACAGTAAAAAATACAATTTTGTTATTGTAAACATAAAACACGGAAATTTATTCCCTATAATGTCTGGAAGTTGAAAGTATTAAATCAAGATGTTAACAGGTGGAAGGGGGCTGGAGAGATGGCTCAGTGGTTAAGAGAACTGGTTTCTCATGCAGAGTCTGGAGCCATATCTTGTGGGTCAAAAAGGGAGGTTTGGGACTTAAAAAGGTTGTGGTAAAAACCCCAAGCAAATTCTCCCACTTGTGAATGGGCATTTTTGTTTGTTACCTCTACTTAGAAGCACTAAGGTATTTTGTCATTCATTTGATCATAAATGAATATGGTATTTTTCTTATTTGGACATAATATATTGATACCTGTCAAAATTTGACATCATCCAAGTGTGGTGGCCTATGCCTTTAATCCCAGTACTCAAGAGGCAGGCAGATCAATGTGAGTTCAAGGCCAGCCTACTTTACATACTGAGTTCCTGGCCATCCAGGGTTACCTCAGTGAGACCATGTCTAAAAAAACCAAAACCAAAATTAAACAAACAAAACAAAAGAAAACAAAAACAAAACAAAAAAAAAACCCTTAGGATCCTTTATCCTGATATGATATAATCTATTCATATATTTAGATTAAAACCTTTACTTATATCAGTTGTGTGGAGAAAATGGAATATCTTCTAAAACTAATATCACTGTTTTTATGCCTTTGAGCCAGGGTCTCCCTGTAGCCCCAGCTGGGTTGGAGCTTGGTATGTAGACCAGGCTGGCCTCTATCTCACAGAGATCCACCTACCTCTACCTCCCAAGTTCTGGAGTTAAAGGCATGTGCCACAATGCCTGGCTCAGACTAATTAATATCTTTACTTTGAGTTCCCCAGGACTAAAATTAAGAGGAAGAATTTTTGGATCCATCTTTGTCTCCTGCCGTTTAGTTCTACCAACCTCTGATAGAGTCTTCATATTGACATCGAACTATATTGTATGAAATTCTAAAAATTCAATTAAAAATTCAGCAAAATTAAGTATTTTAATAATATTAACTTGATTTTAATATACATAAATATAAAATTAAATAATAATATTTTTACAAACCAAAACAATCCTAGCATTTGGGAAGCAGATGTATGAGTTTGAGGCCAGTGTGGTATACACAGAGATTTCCAGGCCAGTCAGAGGTACATAGTGAGACCCTATCTCAAAACAACCACCTGGTGTGTGTGGTGGTACACACCTTTAATCCTAGCCCTTGGAGGAAGCAGAGGCATATATGTTACACCCTCTAAAAGAAGGAATCTCTTCTCTTTGAAGAGAGAGAGCCATATATGCTACACCCTCCGAAAGAAAAGATCATTAGGATGCTCTCTCCTGGCTCCTTGTTCAACCCTTGGAAGACTATAGAAGGGGTATCTACCTACAAGTCACATAAATTTATGCTATTCTTTCTCTCTCTCTCTCTCTCTCTCTCTCTCTCTCTCTCTCTCTCTCTCTCCCCTCTTTTATGTGAACTGTCTCATTCATCTAGTATCTACCCAGTCAACTGCTGAATGCAAAGCTGCCAGGATTAAAATGGGAGGAATTCAAGACATTCTATTCTTTCTCTCTCTCTCTCTCTCTCTCTCTCTCTCTCTCTCTCTCTCTGTCTCTCCTCTTTTAGGTGAACTGTTGTCTTTGAGCTGAAGCAATAAGTTCAGATCATCAGAGAAAAGATTTGAGCTGCTTTCAGGATTCAAGGTATGGATTCTGAGTTAGGAATTAAGAACTCACTCAGTTTAGACCACAGGTTACTCCAGTGTTTATCTATAATGTTAAAACTTGCATTCTGAGCTATACATAAGAAGCATCACCCTTTTTTTTCACTAGGAATTGAGTAATTAGTACAAGGAGACATTAACAGAGAAGTAATTGGGAAGAACCTCACACAGTGTTAGGAATTAATGTGTAAACAATGAATGAAAACCAAGGGGCACTCATAGCTTTACAGTTGGTAACTTCATAAGCTCTACTCTGCTCTGAAACATCTGGATTCTGTAAGTGGTATTTGAGGTTTCCTTGTACTCCTTTCATTTTCATGGGCCTCAAAAACAGTGAATGCTTTTATTTGCCAGCCTCAACACTAGGAATTCAGCCTGGGATACAGATAAGACTGAAGCGATTACCCACAGTAGCATATAAGAAACCAAACAAATCTCTAATGTTGTTATTTTAGGATATCTTAAGTTAAGATAACCTGGTATAGTATTTCTCTTTTTCCACCTGAGTTTTCAATGAGACGAAAATTTGATGTTCAGAACCCATATCACATCATATAGCAGAAGATGTCCCAGAGCCCTACTGAAATCAAAATCAGGATCATAAAAGAGGTCTGATGGATCTAACCTTCCAAATGCATGGGTGTCCAAGGGACACATTCTCTGTTACCCCATTGGTAAGCCTGGTTTTGGCAGCTAGGTGTCTCATCCTCTCCCTCACAATTAACTGGGGAGAAAAAACCTGCTTATGGCAGGGAAGTAGAACAGTAGCTATCAAAATGTGGAGGCTGCAGCGCAATCAGTACTCACAGTCAAATCTGTCATTCCATAACTGGGTAACTGTAGGAAAAAAAATTCTTCCTTTGTCATGGGGACACACGAAGCTATTTAGTATGAAGGAACACTAAGGAAGTGATTGTGGTATATGCCTTGACTGCAAACTGTGTGGTCCATAAACCTGAGTATAGGAGTGTTAGTGAACTAAAGAGTGTAAGTAAGGGTGGCCAATGTCTGAACAGCTTACTTCATGTAGTGGGTTTGGGGAGGGAGTTAGAATTCTTCTTCTGATGAAGTTAAACTTATCAACACAGAGACAAAACTGCAGCCTGTTGATGAGGCTTCTGAGCCTGGAAGGCATTTCCATGCCCTACAAAGCTCCTGGGGGAATCTAGTTTCTGGTTTGCACCCTAGGACTTTACAACTAGGGAGGATGAATGAAGGGGGTCCCACTCTTAAGTTTCTCAGTAGATATGATTTTGTTCTTATGGGAGAAGTTATGTGTTATAGTACAGAATGTGGTTCCAGCCTCATTATGCTTCATGATGGTGGAACATGTGGCCATTGTGGAACATTTTTTTTAACTTAGAAAAGAAGCAGCAAGTGCCACAAAGCCAAACACCTGTCTCCTGGGAACCGTAATAGTTTTCATGTTTGCTTGGCTAGCACTCAGCAGGATTCCTATTTCTTTTTGCCAGTTCTTGACAGCACAGAAACAAGCATGGAATGAGACATTTGAACCTTTATAACATGATTTTCAGACGTTCATTGGAAGTAGTCTATCACAGAGGCTTTAACTGATTTTACTGAGTGTATTCACAATCTCCCTTTCTCCCTCAGACAGTGATTCCTGATTGCCGCCTTCCTGTCTACACGCTTGTCCACTTCTAGACACGAGAATCATCATGTCTCAGATTCAAGAGAATCCAGAGGGCACAGCTGTCCAAGGCGAGATCTTCGAGGAGACCCAGGGCCTTGAAGTTGCACAGGTCCCCAAGGAAGCGGAGGAGTCATGTTCCTCCCCTCATCCTCTGGTGCCTACCAGCCGGAAAGGCGAGACCTGGAAGGAGACCAGAGACCTTAAGGTTGCACAGGTCTCTGAGCATGTGGAGGAGACAGGTTCCCCTCATACTCTAATGCCTAGTAGCCCTGAAGGTGAGATTTACAAGGAGACCCAGGGCCTAGAGGTTACAGAGGTCTCTAAGGATGTAGAGGAACCATTTTCCTCCTCTAATCCTCTGTTGCCTAGCAACAAGAAGGCCGATCCTATAGATGAGACACCCAGTACTTCTTGGGGTCCTGAGAGTTGTTCTGCCTCTGCAGTTGCTGCTGCAGCCTCATCTGCTGAGGGTCCCAGTAGGCAACAAGCACAGGTTAGTCCATTTAACATAGTGCAGGGTATCCCATTTAACTTAGCACCTCTGCCAATTATGCAGTGTGTACCTGATGATCCTATAAGTAGGAAAGTAGATTTCATGGTGAATTACATGCTCTACAAGTACCAGGTGAGAGAGTTAATGAGCATGGAAGATATGATAAGAACTGTCATCAGAGAAGATGAGAGTCACTTCCATGAGATCCTTTCTCTAGCTAATGATCGCATGGAGATGGTCTTTGGCCTAGAGGTGAAGAAAGTAGATCCTATCAATCATTTTTATGGCCTCTTTATTAAATTAGGCCTCACTTATGATGGCATGCACCATCATGAGTATTCCTTTCCGAAGACCGGTCTCCTAATACTTATCCTAGGTGTGGTCTTCATGAAGGGCAATCGTGCTACTGAAGAGGAGATATGGAGAGTGCTGAATCCAATGGGAATCATTGCTGGGGTGCCGCATTTCCTCTTTGGGGAGCCCAGGAAGCTTGTAACTGAAGAGTTTGTGTGGGAGCAATACCTTGAGTGCCAGCCAGTGCCCAATAGCTTTCCTGTGAGATACGAATATGTGTGGGGTCCAAGAGCTCGTGCTGAAACCAGCAAAATGAAAGTTTTAGAGTATGTGGCCAAGATTCATGGGGTACACCCCAGTATTTTCCAGGCTCAGTACCAAGAAGCTTTGTTAGAAGAAGAGGAGAGAACACTTGCTATGCTTTTAGATAGAGCTGCCTCCAGTTCGATGGTGGCTGAAAGCTCTAGTGCCATACCCAGCAGGTTCCCCCCACGCTAGGACAGTCAAAGATAGACTGTTCCTGCATAATTTTCATGACCAGCATGTTCCCCCACCTTAGGAAATTCAGAGATAGACTGTTCCTGCATGCTTTTAAAAGAGTTTTCAGTTGACAAAATGTAAGCCATGGCTTGATCTAGAGAGCAGAGTAGCTATGTAGTACTTTTCTGTATTTGTAGCATGCCTTTTTTCTTTCATTGTTTGCCTTTCTGTTACTCAGCTGTTTCAAATTTTCCATTTAATGCTGTTCATGGATTTAATAATAAGAACTTTGCTGTGGTAGAAAACTAATTCAGAAATCCATCTATCTGTATCTGGAGTTACATAACCTAGTTTTGCAAAGCTTTCAACATTAAAATACCTGTGGTCTGATGTTTTTCCTTGTAACTTTTTCTTTCTTAATGACATATAGAGAATTGCTTAACTTTATAGTTTTTAGAGCAATAAATTTAAGAAATTTTACATCATGCTTACTGTCTCATTTATTACCCAAACTTTATTTGATCTACTACTATTTTGTAATAATTATTTTATTTTATTAGGATGCTAAAGTAAGCAACACTTAGTCCCTTCCCTTATCAATGTATTGATAATGGTAGGCTATCTTTGAATACTTAAAGGACAAATGAAATATAGTGTTTATAGATGAATGCATCCTTATGAATCCATTAAATATAAATGTTCTAAGAAAGGTAAACATGACAGTGGTAAGGTGAACTACTTGAGACTGTTAATTTTAAGTTAAATTTTGAGGGGAAGAAAGTTGTGTAGTGAACAAGGTTGAGACCAGCACATGATGTGCCTCAGAATTGACCCAAAAATTTGAGTGCAAAACTCCCAGTTACATTGAGATCATGATTCTTGAAGACCCCATCTTCACACAGAAAGTCAGAAAGTGTTCTTCCCTAGCCACACTACTTTGTAGTTGAATGTAGCTCATAAACTTGGGCTTTATGCTACAAATAAGCTCCAGGACCTTTCTGAGCATACATGAGATGAAGAAGCCACTGGATTGGCATTCATTATCCAAGGCTTATTAAACCAGAAACCACTCTTTTAAAAGATATTTTAAATGGGTGATTTTTGAGTATTTTAACTGAAAACATTTAAGAAATGCTTAAAATTTTAATAAAGATGGAACTAAATACTGATGGTTTGTATGAAGGTGAGGAGTCCGTTCTTGTCAAAACTTGCAGGAATTTTTAGCTGCATCACTGCAAAATAAACCCACATTATTAAAGAATAAAACTCTCAGGGAAAAATTACTGATGTCATTTGTTTAGTAGTATTAGGTTTTGGTGAAGTTCCATTTCCTACAGCACTTCATTTTGTGAGAATATATTTTAAAAAATTAAACAACATAAACTGGTAGTGTCAGTGGTCAATATCATTACAGTAATACCTGCCATATTGGTAGATATATATGTTGCTAAGTGCTATGCCTGAGGTTTAATTACTTGTAAATATTCTTACATGGTAGAACTTACACTGATTAACTTTTTCATCAATGTGACCAAATATATGTAACAGAAACTACATTAAGGCAATGTTTATTTGGGCTTATGGTTTCAAGGGATTTTAGTCCATCTTACCAGGGAAGGTATAGTAGAGTCAGTGTCCATGGTTGTCAGGAAAATGATTTACCAGGAAACGGAGAACTACATCAGTACTAGTGCCAAGCTATAACCTCGAAAATAATCTATTTCTGCCAGAGGTCTCACCTCTGAATGGTTTCACGGTGTTTCAAAATGACATCACTAGCCAGTGAACAAGTGCTCAAAACATGAGGCAGTGGGTGACATTTCAGATTCAAACCATCATCGGACTTATAAGACTCATTTTCAAATTGAAAGTCTAAGATTCATAGAACTTGGTAATGTGCCTTGAGTTGACAGGTCTACTATGTAAAATAAGTGAGACTAAACTTCTAGTTTAATTCTTCTAGAGCTTTCTCTATATTACTTCTTCAGTCATTTGCTTCTTCATTCACTTTTTGTGTTTTTCATTGGGTCTGTATTCTGAAGGGCTAAAATTATGTGGAAAGAAGATAAAATGATAATCAAAATATGAAGATTTAATTCTGAGCTCAATAACCTATAGTCTTTCCCTTTGTGTCAGTGGTTCTGAGAGCTGACTTTGAAGTGGCTGACAAGCTTTGTCCAGATTCCACTATTTGGTGTGTTATAATACCCTTGTCCTGCTTTTCAGTGGACTGTCTCATTGAAATTTGAGGCCAACCTGCTGACCAACTAGTTTTATTTATCCTCTTCTAAAGATAACACACTGTCCACAGTAGAACAGACGTCCCAGAATAACCTGACTAACTTTAGAATTCCTCAGAGAGCATTATCCTATATCCCATGCCCAAAGGTCATTTGTGTATTGCAGTTTGGTTCTGACTATCACCAAGTATTGATTATTATTCTGTTACTGTGATAAAACACAATGATCAATGCAACTTACAAAGGAGAGTTTATTTTGCTTACAGTTCCAGAGGACTAAGTCATCATGGTGGGAAAGCATTGCAGGAGGCAGCGGAAGCAGGAAGCTAAGGCCCACATCTTCAAGCAGACACAGGAAGCAAGGAGAGACAAATTCAAAATGGAGTGGGGGTAACTCTCAAAACCTGTCCATATCTTCCAGCATAGACACACCTCCTAAAGTTTCAATGGCCCTCTCCAAACAGCCTCACCACCTGGGAATCAAGTGTTCAAATACTTAAGCATATGAAGGACATTCTCATTCAAATTATCACATAAACTCAAGATCACATAATGCAAAATACATCTAGTCCAACCTTAACAGTGTCCATAGTCTTTAACAGTCCCAACACTATTCAAAAGTCCAGAGTCTAAAGTCTCTTCTGAGACTCAAGGTAGTCTCTTAACTGAAATCCCAGTAAATTAAAAAAAAAGTCCAAAGCCAAGTACATGCATCTAATATACAATGGCACAAAATACAAAGTCCCATTCCTAAAGGGAGGAATGAGGCCACAGTGAGGACATAAGGAACCAAAGCAAGATCAAAAATCAGCAGAGAAAACAGCAAATTCTGTAGCTCCATGTTCAGTGTCTGAGACCTTTTAGATGTCTCTACCCTTCCACGTTTGCTTCCTGCAACATGTATCTCTTTCTTGGGCTGGTAAGACTCCCTGTATTCACTTCTCCTTGGCAGATGTTTCATGGCTGTGGCATCTCCAACATCTAGGAGTCTCCAATGCCAACAGGTCTTCACCTTCACAATGTCACACAGTGGCTTCTCAGGGCCTCTTGATATGTCAGGGCCTTCTTTACTAGGTATACCCCTGCAAAACAGTGCCTGGCCTCAGCAACTCTCTGAAACTACAGAAGAACAAATGATCCTCTCTTGTATCTTTTATGCCTCTAAAACTAGTACTATGAACAGGACACTGCCTAGTTAGGCTGCCAGCTTGGGATGAATCTTGGCCCCCTGGGATCATATTGTTAGCACCTTTTATATGTTGTGGTGTTCTAGGAGCAGAAAATTCCTTAGGCCTTTTCCTTTAACAAGTTGGAAATTTGGGGGATTGGGTCTTGCCTTGAAGGTACTCTTTCCATTGTTCACATGCAAATCTGGAAGGCCCTCCTTAATGATGCCAATATCTTTATCAGAGTTTCTATATTAGTCTCCATCTGTTTCAAAAAGAAGCTTTTTGATGAATGGTGAGTGGCACTCTCATCTGTAAATATAAGGATACGTGTTTAGAATACAGTAAGAAATTATGTTGATGTAGGGGTGTTTCACTAAATCTTCCCCTCCAAGCTGGGAGACCTGCCCTCACTCAGGGTCTCCTGGTCCTGACACAGACTGACAAAAGTGGCATAATACATTCTATTTGGGTTTTGTATAGTTTATACGATGCCCGGGAAAGGGGATGACTTACAAAAACATGGATTTGCATAGGCTTTTCTTTCCCATATTTGAGGCATGTGCTATCCCACCCATGGTCTCTGTGCTCTGTTCCAAAAATGGCAACTACTCCATTCATGGCTCTGCTCAAAAGTCGACAACCAAACAGAAATCCTGTGGCTTTCCAACAACCACACAAAATGGCAAGAGTGGCCTGGTGGTCTTCTCGACTTATATATCTATTGCCCCTCTGCTTCATGCAGCTAAGGTCAACGGATTGGATGGGAGAGGTAATGAGCTTGACTCCTTCTGTAGAGTGTGGGAAGGAGGTGGGACCATTGCTTGTCATCATAGGGTAAGAGGAAATTCAGGGTCACAAGAGGTGTGACGAAAGTTGTGTTTTCTCTAGAATCTATTACCCCTACAGCTATTTGTATGTGGCTATGCTCCTTCCCATGAGGTCCTTCCCATAGAACAGGCCTTAAGTCCAATTAGACAGCTGTTGTTTACCCTCAAGATAAAAGTGATACTATTGTACCAGCAGAAATTATTTGCTGGCCTGGTCGCTCTTATATTTTGTAGAGTGTACAGCTGGGTGAAATCATTGACTGGTTCTCTCCCTTGGCAGTTTGCATAGTATCTTCTGATACTATAGAAGCTAGGCTTTAAGGAGGAGACTTCCAGATAAGTTCCAACTTGATTGCTCCATGTTCTGTGTCAAAAGTATATCCTACCTTCAGTGATATGCTTTCTTTATTCATGAGACATGACACTAGATAGGTTAACTAGGCTCCAGCAAATAGACACTTACCAAAGGACATCTGGGGACACAAACTTACAGGTCTTAACTTGTATGACAGAGTACAATACATGCCCTTGGGGACTATAAAAAGGGTGCAGGTAAGAGAGGGTTCCTAATATGATCAAAATATATTCTATGAAATTCACAGAAATACAATAGAAAAGAAAAAGATAAAACATGTCAATTTTTTAAAATTGTTCAACATCTTTATTCATCAGGGAAATGTAAATTAGAACCACAAATGGCCAGCATGAATAGAGTAAGGGACTACAGAATGATTTTCCCTGAATTGGATACTTATATAAAACTTCTGCCTCCAAAGGTACAG